AAATGATCAGCGTTCTTCTATCAAGTCAAAATTAAGCTGCCTTGCATTTGACTTAACAGTATGCTACTCAATTATTCCTCCAAAAGTACACCCCTCCTTGACTTGTTTTGATAAACAGGGCATATAGATGTTTAAACACCAGTTGGCCCCTTGTTAGCTAGCTAATTAAAATGAAATTATTTTTGAAAAGTTATGACTAGCCAGGCATGGTGGCTCACACCTGTAATGCCCACAGCTCTGGAGGCTGAGGCAGGAAGATTGCAGGTTAAGCCAGCCTTAGCAATTTAGTGAGACTGTAAGCAACCCAGTGGGACACTATCTCAAAATAAAAAATAAAAAAATCTGGAAATGTGGTCCCATGGTTAAACATACCTGGGTTCAATCCTTGGTACAAAAAAAATAGTTATGACTAATTCATTGTTTTAATTTTAAAAAAAGATATTTGTACACAAAAATCATCCTATGTCAGTAAGGCATAGTGGTACACACCTGTAATCCCAGCTACTCAGGAGGCTGAGGCAGGAGGATCCCAAGTTCAAGGCCAGTCTGGGCAATTTAGGGAGGCCCTGGCTCAAAAATAAAATAGAAGGAACTAGGGCTGTGGCTTAGTGGTAGAGTCCCCCTGGGTTCAATCCCCAGTACCAAAAACAACAGCAGCAACAAAATCATCCTGTGTCAGACATAAATTACACATTGTCACACCGATTGCCTGCTATGTTCAATGACATGGAAGTTGAAAATGATATAATTATGATGTGATATTGAAATTAGTATCTTACACAGCCATATGTTAACTCTATGCCATTTCTCCCATGACAAATTGATCGAATACCTTAGATAATGTTTTAACACACATCATTATACAAAAATAATTAGAATAAACTATGAATCATTCTGTCAACTTATGATTCAATAGAATAATGTATATCTTTCATAGTTATTAATATTTAGTGTCTTTCAGTAAATTAAAAAATCAAGCTTAACAAAAGTTAAAAATATCTGATGATACATAGATGATGATAGAAGTAATATGTATTAATGAATCTTTGTATGACTGACTTTCTTTTGGTTAATCACTCACAGAATGATGTCAAACATAGATCAAGACTTTGGCTCCTTTTTCATCCGACCTTCCGGCATTTCATTACTATAGTTACCTGATTAATGGATGCAATAATATATATGGCACGACATGATATGTTCACATTAAATTTTAATCAAATATTGCTAAATTCAGAAAACATTAAGTAAATCATGACTGATGAGGCAATATCGCTGCACTGTCATATTGATGACTCGGAAACTTCACTGCTGAGAGTAACAGATTAAGCACAAGAAGTGAATTTTATGAGGAAATATAAGTATCTCAACTTCCACAGTTGCATTTTTTAATTGCTTTGCAGCCACCAGAGGAGACTCAAGATCCATCAAGTCTATTGGTGTCACAGATCTTGCAATTCCCTTCCTTGATTTCAAAAATTGTATTTGCTGGGAAAGAAGAGTCCATTCGTTATCTGTGGAGGTTTGTTTTTTCTTATCATGGATTTTTATTGTTTGTTTTGTAGTGTGGTTTTAATGCAGGGGCACTTTACCACTCAGCTACATCCCACCCTTTTTTTTTTTAAGACGGACTCTCACTAAGTTGCTTACCGCCATGCTAAATTGCTGAGGATGGCCTTGAACTTGCAATCCTCCTGCCTTAGCCTGCCAAGTCATTGGGATTCCAGGTGTTTGCACCACTGTGTCTGGCTCTAATCATGGTTTTTAACTAAAAGTTATTGTCATTATTCTATTTAGATGAGGCACTTAAACTAGTCAAATTCATAGGAACAGAAAGTAAATAGTAGTTGACAGGGGCTGGCACAGAGGGGGAAATGGGAAATTGTTGTTTAATGAATACAGAGATTCAGTTTTATCATACTTTGGTATGATAAAAAAGTTCTGGAAATCAGTTGCACAACAACATGAATATACTTAACACTGATGAACTCTACACTGAAAAATGGTTACAATAGTAAATTTTATGGGAAGTGTTTTTTATCATAATTTTTTAGAGTTGTATTTTAAATAGGACTTCGAATCTAATGCTGGTTCCTTCATTCTTGCCAAGAAGGGAAGGAAATGAGACCTATCATTTGATGAGGGATAGCTATGCCTCAACAGATACTCTACTTCTGTAGAAGCAGGTCTACTGGCAGCAGCCTCATTCTAGGGCTTGGTGTGAAGTCCTCGTTTTCTGTCACCCTGAAGCAATCTTGACATGTCTGCCACACTGCACATTTTTTGTCTAGATAACTTTGATGGGTGCGGTTTGAGATACTTTACACCTTGAAGCACTGGTGTGATCTCTCTAACCTCACAGCAAAGCCACAAAGGGGTCAACCTTATGCTGGATGGATGGATGGAAGTAGTATGTATTACCATATAACTGGTGAGTGGTAAAATGGACTGTCAGGTTCCAAAAAAATGTATTCTTCTTACTGATGGTGGAAACATCCAGTGCTCTTCTATGTCTAGTCTCCTCAGGGTCCTGGACTCCCAGAGGAAAACACTTCTCAGTCCCTCTTGCTGCCAAGCAGGGCTATATGACCCCCACAGGTCCCTCTGGGTGTCAGGCAGTGAGAAGCCAGGTGTTCTTTCTTGCTGGGGAACCCTGGCAACCATGTGCTGAGGTGGTGAAACCATGAGATTGGATCTCTGAGTCACCCTTGGAAAGAAGATGCCTAGAACCTACTCAACCTAGAGCAGGCTTTGTGTGAATGATAAATAAACCACTGGATGTCAAGCCACTGGGATTTTGAGGATTATTACCTAAGGACTGCCTATCCTGGCCTGCCTAATATGCTACTGTTGATTGAAAGATAGTTGATTAAAGTTAGTGCTGTAAGATAAAGTACTGGTCTGAAAGATAATAATTTTTTTCTTGAGCTTTATCCACTCCAATCCTAGTATCCTATTTACCCAACTTGTCCCCTACCTCCTTTTGTCTTTGGAGGCAGGGGATTATCAGGGATTGAATTCAGGGCCCTCGAACATTAAGCCACATCCCCAGCCCATTTTTATATTTTTATTTAGAGACAGGGTCTCACTGAGTTGCTTAGCACCTCATTGTTGCTGAGGCTGGCTTTGAAACTTGCGAGCCTCCTGCCTCAGCCTCCTGATTCGCTAGGAGGATAGGAGTACGTTACCGGCATCCCCTACCTCCTTTGAGTCGTTCTTTTCCTTCTTTTTCACAAGACAAATGGAATCCCATGTTAGAATTATCTAGAATCAATTCATTTTCACCTTCCTCACATTGACACAGGATGGTGTTCTTGACCAAATGCATCCCATCCTCCAAGAATATCTTACTGCATTTTTCCTAAAACATGGTACTAAAAGAAATTCAGATACTTCATGAGTGATTTCTTTTTAGCCGTTACATATTTATTAAAAAGTGTATTAGAAAAACACATACTTGTAATTTAATGGATATTGTTGCTTAGAACAAGGCTAATATTTATGTTTTAAAAGTAGATATATATGTTTAGAAATTAATAAATACACTTCAGGGAGCCTGTGCACTGGTATGGAAAAAATCAGGAAACTAAGGAAAAGCTGCCAGATCAGGTCCTAAGCCACAGTGAGCCACTCTACCAGAGTGCATGCTAGTCATGCTAGGTGTCCAGTTATTCCTCTCATCCTGCACCCTTTGGACAATGTGATTAAAGGAATATTTGCTAGCCTGTGTTTCCCCACATCACAGGGCTGGGTAGGCATGTTACCCCTGCCCGAGCACTAAAGAAAGTACAGAGGTTACCAGACAGAGCTATGAATTTATCTGTATCTCTTTCTTTTCTAACTAGAGTCCAAGATCTCATCATTATGGAGCTGACCAGTTTGTTTGGTTGATCCCATAAAGGACCCTGCAGCTCTCAGCTGGCAGAGGGAGGAGGTAGAGGGCCAGAACCCTGGGCTAGGGCTGAGTCTCTCTTGCTCAAACATTGCTGCAATGTTTAGCCTGGGCTCCTGCCAAGTTTTTGGGAGGGGGCAAGTCGCCCAACTGGGTGCAGTCTGAGATCCTGGATTCTCTAGTGAAAGGTGGTAAAATGCAGAGATGGGTAGATCAGTACAGCTTCCCACATGTTTAGGTGTTCAGCACAAACTGTAAAACATGAATAATTTGCCCTGGTCAGAACTCCAAAGACTGCTTTGACCTTGATATCACTGCCTCCGTGCTGTAGATAAAGCCACCGTATTGCTTTCCTCAGAAATCTGCCCATCCTCTCTGCCTTTAGTTTGACCCAGGGGAATTCACAGTACATTCTGGTTCTTATCTTTCTGTAGAAGGAGTTGCAGTTTCCTCACCACCACAGGCATGTAGCCTCCTCCCTCAACTCGTGGTTTGTCACGTAACACTGGCTAAGTCTTGGCTCCATCTCACTTCCTCTGGTCTACCATTAGCAATTTCACAAATGTCTCAATCTTTGGGCCTAGATCAGCAACCAGAACCAAGATAGAAAAGGAGGAAACGAATCCTGGGAACAAGACGTTGATTTCTTCTCACCTGACACCAGCCTGCTCCAGATTATGGAAGACAGGCCCAATCACCTGAACTCCAGGATGGAATAAAGGAAAGGAAAGGAAAGTACCACTTGGGTTGCAGGGCCCATGGGATATGCTCCGTGGTTCACAGAGAGCACCTATGGACCATAAAAGTCCATCTGGAAGAAAAAAAAGATCCAATCCTAGTATCCTATTTACCCAACTTGTCCCCTACCTCCTTTTGTCTTTGGAGGCAGGGGATTATCAGGGATTGAATTCAGGGCCCTTGAACATTAAGCCACATCCCCAGAACTAGAGAAGTTCTTCCAAAGGGATTTTCTAAGAATGGGAAAAGGTACACCACTGATTTGTTAGTCCACTTGGGAGCCCAGGGGTATTGTGAAGGGAGTTATATAAGTAAGGCAATTTTGAGTGTGTAGGTAAGTTGGATATCAAGGGGAAGAATATACAGCCCAGTGCTTACTTCAGCAGCACATATGCTAAAATTGGAACAATACAGAGAAGATTAGCATGACTTCTATGCAAGGATGACAGGCAAATTTGTGAAGTGTTCCATGTTTAAAAAAAAAAGAAAGAAAAAAAAGAATATGTGGCCCAAAGAAGGAAGGGAAAGCACAAAGTATGATTAAAAAGTTGAGAGTATGCTGGGAGTGGCGGTGCATGCCTATAATCCCAGAAGCTTGGAAGGCTGTCAGGACAATTGTGAGTTCAACGTCAGCCTCAACACCTTAGTGAGATTCTGTCTCAAAATTAAAACATGAAAAATAAAAAGGGATGGGGATATGGATCGGTGGTAAAGCACCTCTGGCTTTAATCCCAGTACCAAAAAAAAAAAAAAGTGGAGAGTGGAACCAGTTGAGACAACTGATGGAAAGCCCCCTGGAATTGGTATGACTTCTCCTGACCTAGTGTTTGGGCCTGCCAGGGCAGTGTAAATTTCCAGTCAGGCCCCCAGGGACTCTCACCAGCACCTTTAGAGGTTAGAGGGAGCTGCCGTGGGCATGTGGGTTAGAGCCAGCAGGCCATGGACTGGCCTGCCAGGAACACATTGAGAGTTACAGCTGTCCCTTTTGCATGTCACCTCCCAGGACAAGCGATTTCATTCCCACCTGAACTTGGGGTTACAGACAGACTGGTGGACTGTGGTAGGACTAGAGTAGCCTCCTAAAGATAAGAGGCTCTATAGGGGTAGACTGACTATGGCTTTCCCATGCCAAGATCCCCTCAGAAAATGTGTTTATTTTGATACTGATTTCTTAATTAGGTGATTCTTTTTGTGGGGTGGAGAGGGACGGTACTGGGGATTAATTCAGGGGCACTTGACCACTGAGCCACATCCCCAGCCCTATTTTGTATTTTATTTAGAGACAGGGTCTTACTGAGTTGCTTAGTGCCTCACTTTTGCTGAGGCTGGCTTTGAACTCAAGATCCTCCTATCTCAACCTCCAGAGCCGCTGGGATTACAGGTGTGCGCCTGGCTATCCATTTTTTTTTAAGTTATTTTTTAGTTGTAGTTGGACACAATATCTTTATTTTACTTATATATTTTTATGTGGTGCTGAGAATCGAACCCAGGGCCCCGAGCGTGCTAGGCAAGGGCTCCACCACTGAGCCACAACCAGAGCTCCTGCTATCCATTCTTAATTGGGAGAAAACAGCGGTACCATTCCACAGAACTATAGATCTGCTGATTGCTACAGTGTGTGTATAGCAGGCACCTGGCCTATTTTCTGCTCTGACTGTGTATGCAGTTCTATGATTATGTTTCAGAGAACAGACTTTGACTTATGGTATGTCTGAATGAACTAATAATAATTATCCATGAAATAGCCAAATATATTAAGTGTGGGTCTATTTTATTTCTAAAGCACTTCTTGTCTATTTATATAAATCATCAATTGCATCTCTGCAACCTGAACTTTGAAATGAGTTGAAACCAGAGCCAAAATTTTTTTCACTTATTTATTTGGCAATATATCACCTGAGTAGTACAAACGGACATCTGTCTGCAAGTTCTATATGAAGTGGTGGGAAAGAAAGAATCGCCGGGCACACCAGCACATGGGGGAATCCCTTTTGTTTCAAAAATGCTTCTTCAAAGGAATCAGCATCCTTGACTGCCTTTGAGGACATCACTGTGTGGGAGGCTCTGTGGGTCTCTCTACAATGACAAAACTGAGGAGCCTGTCTTGGATTGGTGCTTCCCTCAAAATGCACAGTCTGGGCAAAAAATGCAGATACAAAGCACGCACAGAGAAGAAGTCAACGCTGAGCAGAGTGTGGGCTGAAGAATCCTGCCTCCTAAGGAGGTGACAGTCAAATGACGCTGGCTCATCATGTGTGTCAAAGGCTGTGTTCGGCAGGTAAATAGCAATTAAGCATTTCCCACCCACTCACAAATTCCATGCTGGAAAGGCTGGTACTGCGGGAGCCCCTTCCAGGGCTGGATCCATGCATATCCCAGCCTTCTTAAGAAAGAAACAAACCAGCTTCTTAATACACATATCAGGCACGATTTTAGAATGTTTTTTAATAATAACAACAGAAAAACTGTGACTTTTCCATCTTAACCCCTGGTATTTAATCACCCCTGCTATATTTTGTTTTCTGCAATATGAAATAAAAAGTCAATAGTCTAACAGCAACTACTGGATCAAAGTACAGTGACTAAATATTTACTATAAGAAAAACCTAATTGAGCAAAATCTCACTTGAGTAGGACATACATTCCCCTAAACTTTGCATTACTATCTAATACAGACCTAAGGTATATTCATTTGAAGAAAATATGAAGCTATATAAAGTCCTACAAGTTAATAGATTGTGTGAGGCAATATCAAATAAATGAAGACAATGAATATCAAACCTCATATAATGTATATCAAACAAAACAAGACAATATATAGTTAAAGCTGGAGCATAGCCAGGCACATTGGCACATGCCCATAATCCCAGGTACTCAGGAGGCTAAGGCAGGAGGATGGTAAGTTTGAGACCAGTCTCAGCAACTTAGCGAGTCCCTGTCTCAAAACAAAAAATAAAAAGGGCTAGAAATGTAGTTCAGAGGTACAGCACCCTTGGGTTCAATTCCAAGTACCACAAGGAAAAATAAAAGTGTGTGATAAACTTTCAAGTGTTATAGAATTAGGGAAGAAAGAAGGAATCGGAGCAATTATGAAAGGCTTTGTCAGTGAATGAGTGAACAATAAAGAAAAGCAGTTACAATACAATTTCCAAATAGATATTGCTTTCTGATTTATTTTTAAAATATAATGCAAATAATACTTCTACTGAGTAAAAAATGTGCCCAGATTTGATAAGTAGTTCACCAACGCATGCCAAATACTACCAAATATTATCTTGCAATATTATATGTCAAATAGTTGATGTCTGCATCAGTCAATGATATCTATATTACCCAAATGTTATGATCTATTGGAAAAACTCAGATATGCCAAGGCAGACTTCTACTTTAGCTAATGTCATTGCTTGTTGCAGTAAAGCAAAATAATAAACAACCTTCTCTTTTTCTCTCCCACTTCCCAGAGAGGAATAGCTGCATTTTTTACGTATGCCAATTATGCAGCAGAGATCTGGGTTATCTGTAATGGAGGGAGCAAAGGAGGAAAGAAGCAACAGTACAGACTAGTGATATAATGCAATAAAACACACTGTGGTTTTGGGGTTTTGGTCTATGACCAGCCAGAGAGTGAGTGAAGAAGAAATCATTGGCAGGTGCTGCATTTTGGATGAAGCTTTTTGCAGGCTGAGTAAATCAACATAATGCCAGACTTATGTGTAGGAAGACAGGCAGCCACCTACGTGCCATAATGTGAAGTGTACAACAAGGCCCTGCTGGCCATGAGATAGCTCTTCTATGAACCTACAGGCTGCCCAGTGTTCTCAGCCAGTGTGTTAACTGAACACTTACTCCATGTCCAACGGTGACTGCACCCCAAAGCAAATATGATAATGTCCCTGCCTTCAAAAGCAAGTCTTGAAGGCAAAAACAAAATAGATAAGGTAATAAGTGAAGATAATATATGCTTTAAATCTGTGTGATAAACTACTGTATGTTACAGAATTGAGAGAAGAAGGAAGGAGAAATAAGAGCCATCTGGAAGATTTTGTCAATGAATGAGTGCACAGAGAAGCAATATCTTCAACGATAGCAAGGATTAGAAGAGAGAAAGAGAGATCAAAAGGCACAGCAGCACAAGGACACAGGTTAAGGGGGACTGTGTTTTAGAAAATGAGACAAATCTGATTAAAAGAGTGCATTTGAGGCAGTGCGGGGCGCCGAATAGACAGAGCACAGTCAGGTAATGAGAGGTCCTCTTTTTCACAGAGGACCACTTTTACAGTGTTTCCTTTCATAAAGACCAAAACAGGAACCCCTATCCCATTTACCCCTTAGATCATCGTCCTTTTTTTTTTTCTTTCATAAGATTTATCATTGTACCAGAAGAATGGGATCCTAATCAGAATAAGTCATATGTCATGTATGTATAATATGTCCACATACACTCAACAGTCATGTTTATTTAAAAAGAACAAAGAAAAAATTTAAAAATAAGATTTATCATTGTACTTCATATTATTTTCATTTATTTCTGGACTTATTTATTTACCACCTATTATATATCTCCTGCCTGGCATGTAGTATTGTGTTTAGTGCAATAAGAACTACCTAGTGAATGTATAGATGAATGAACAAACTGATGAAAACATTTCTATAAGACACACACTTGATGGAGCAGGTGGGGCAGGATGCTCTTTGACTCTCTTGCATTATATCAAATTCACTGAGTGCATTATATTTCTCTTGAAGATAGAAGGAGCCCAGTCCTGAAGAATCCAAAAGACAATATTTTTTTCTGAGGAGTAGTGGAATCTTCAGGTCAAAAGTAAGTCTTGTGTCAGTTGTGTTGCTCACCTATAATCCCAGTGACTCAAGAGGATGGGCCGGAGAATTGCAAGTTCAAGGCCAGCCTCAGCAATTTAGCAATATCTCAGCAACTTCGCCAAATCCTGTCTCAAAAAAAAAAGGCTGGGCGTGGTGGCACATGCCTATAATCCCAGTGGTTCAGGAGGCTGAGGCAGAAGGATCGCGAGTTCCAAGCCAGCCTCAGCAAAAGCAAGGTGCTAAGCAACTCAGTGAGACCCTGTCTCTATAAAGAAAATACAAAATAGGGCTGGGGATGTGGCTCAGTGGTTGAGTGCCCCCTGAGTTAAATCCCTGGTATCAAAAATAAATAAATAAATGAAAATAAAAAATAAAAAGTTCAGCCTATGTCCACTATGGAGAGATGGCCTTTATTTGTCAACTCTGACAAACTGTTTTGTGTGTTAAAAAAAAAGTTCAGGGCTGGGGATGTGGCTCAAGAGGTAGAGCGCTCGCCTGGCATGCGTGCAGCCCGGGTTCGATCCTCAGCACCACAAACAAACAAAGATGTTGTGTCCGCCGAAAACTAAAACATAAATATTTAAAAATTCTCTCTCTCTCTCTCACTCTCTCTTTAAAAAAAAAAAAAAGTTCAGTGGTAAAGTGTCTATACGTTC